ATAGTAACATTACTTTAGTCAGCTGTAAAGTGCTAGTTACTTATCTAGCAGATACGATTCAGGTTAAATATAATTAAAATAGTTTGGAGGTAAAATGTTTTCGGTGATACGGAGCTACCGTGTCTCGATCCTCATCCCTAGTTTTAACATTGCGTGATTTCCTTTTTTTTTTTTTTTTACTTCATATTGTCCTTTATTTACTTTGTCAGTTTTGTTTACAAATCCAGTCTATGTGGTTTCACAACTTCTCTGCCATATCTGGGTCTGACTGTAGCGTGATCTGGACTAGGTCTGGATGTTGGTTGGTTGGTTGACGCTGCTGTGTGGGTGCAGGCATCTAAGTATCCTGTGTGCTCTCGGGTCTGTCTTTGTGGCTAAGGTGATGGCAGTTTCCATGCCAGCAGCTCCATGAGACACATCCACCAAGTATGACCGTGAGGTGAGTATTCACCCACCACAGTCCCTGTTACTCTTCATCAGCCACCCACACTTGTTCTCCAGGTGGACAGTTTTGAGTTCATGCACTAGGTGATGCTTGCTGAAGAGTTTTTGATCTGTACTCCTCTCCTTTTCCTTTCAAATGACAGCTGTGCTGTTTGGGAGTGACGGGTTCAGTATGGATGTGAGGGTTGGCACAGTAGATTGAAGCTGGCGTCCCATCAGCAGTTGAGCTGGATTGAAGCCGTTTTGGATTGAGCTGACACAATATGCCAGCAAAGCAAGATAAGGTTCTGTTGCCTTTTTGCTGAGGTTTTTAGCAGCTTTCTAGCCCTTTCAGTCCGTCCGTTGCTTTGGGGGTATCATGGACTGCTGGTCGCATGTCTAAATTCATATACTGCAGCAAAGGCTAAAATGTGACTTCTTGACAAATGTGGCCTGTTGTCAGTCATCAAGATCTCCAGAACTCCATGGCGTGCAAACATAGGTTTGAGGTAAACTTAAATGTCGGTGGACTTTGGGAGAAACTCCTGTGCTTAAAGAGGATGACGTTTCTAAAGGCTGTGGGAATAGTCCCCCTTTAACAGGAGACCATCGGACACAGTAAGGAAGACGTGCTCTGCCCAGTTCAGTTAATGAACCTTCACATGCTGAACTTTGGCCATCCATCCTGACACATGACCTAGGAGCACACAATGTCTGCTTTTAGATGCCCTTTCAGACTGCCCATGTCGGAAGCACTTGTTAGTATCTTTTCCATGAAGCTTTGATGTATACATTGATGTATGCGCTTTGTCTGCATGTCTGTGTTTGTGATAGTGTATCTGCTGTCCACAGGTTCTTCCCAGGGGGAATGAGAGATTGAGATTAAGTTTCTGGCTCATCCAGAAAAACTGGATCCTTGAGGAAGGCGTCCAAAGCTTGGGCCCCCAGGAGGCTCAACAGTGGTTTATTAAAGTGCCAGCCTATGAAGAAGTCTCTGTATTTTTTGCAGGCCCATGTGAGCCCCAAAGCCTCTTTCTACACTTGAGCACATCTCTGTTCCTCTGGTGAGAGAGAACGTGAAGCATAGGTGACAGGCCTCCAGTCTTTGCTCCACTTTTGCAGCCAACTGCACCTAGTCCAAAAGAAGACATGTCTGCTGACACTTTGATATCCTTGTTTGCGTCATACACAGCTAACACAGGTTTGCCTGATATCTCTTGCTCCAGGCTGCTAAAGGCTTTGTCTTGGTCGACTCCCCAGAACCAGTGATTGTTCTTTAAGATTAAGTCTCTCGAGCTGCGGAATGAACTTCCAGCTGGTTTACTATTCCCAGGAAGCTACGTAGTTCACTTGTTGATCGCTTACGATACTGATGTTTAAAATGTATGCTCGACTCATAGAAAACTCTGCTGCATATTAAATCAAACGCTTTGTAAATTAACAGCCACAGACCTACTCACATACACATCCTCTTGTCGGTCACGTCCGCACTGGTGTCAATATCAAAGTTGAGATTACTAGTTTGCAAAAAGCACTCAAACCTCCTAATCCATTTTTCCCATTTGGTGAAGTCAAACGGCTCCAGTGACTTGATGCTGAACGTAGCATTCGGCAGCATTGCTAACTAGCAGATCTTGACCTCCCCAATATGGCAACCGTGCAGACAAACATTAAAAACACGCTATGTTTTTTATGCTAATAAGAGTTAATAGCTAACGTAGTCTCGAGATCCTAGCCTCAAAGAGAGATGAAAAATGGGCTACAGATGTTGTAAGCTTACTTCTCGCCACACTACCATTTTTTTTAAACTTCAAACGAACCAAGGCTGACTCAAGTGACATCACTTAAGGACATTTATGCGCAGCTTCCTCTGGAGCCTAAGAAAAAGGCTCTATACAACCTTTTTCACATTAGTAATAGTACTCCCTAAGACCTATAAACACACTTTGATGTGCTTCCTTTTCGGGAACAGAGCTGACTTTAAACCGTGTTAAACAACTGTGACGGGAAACAGTTATGAGCCTAATTATTAATGTAACACAACAAGGCTTTTTCACACCAGGGGTTTAAACACATATATTGAAAAGTCAACCTAATGAGTCATTTTCTCTTGTTTTGAGTGTAAGGTAATTTAATCACGAATAAGTGCTTTTCCACAATCTACTCATTAGAAGCTAATCAGCTATCAGCTATAATCAATACATCCTCTGATTATGGGGACTAATTCCTCCATGAACTGCGCAGCCTGTGGTTCCTGCAGCAACTGAGAGGCTTCATACCATCAGACCTCACGCCTGTTGATATAAATACATATTCAAGCCAGTTTCATGTGCAGCAGTTTGTGTGTGTGTGTGTGTGTCTGTTTTGTGTGTGTGTGTGTGCAGAGACAACAGCAGCAGCCGAGATGAAAGCTCATTGATCCCGCACAGGAGCCACAGCTGCTCTCTACAGAGCATCTCGTTATTAATCTGAAGCTTTTTAAACGCCTCGATCGCAGTCATTCTTCATGATTACTGCTGCTGCTGCCATTTACACAGAGATTACAGCAGTGTCGCAGGCACAGGTAAATATGTAGGTATTACAGCAGCAAGGTTGTAAACCCTGTTACAGTGACGGAGAGAACAAGAGAGCGTGGCAGGGGGAGATGAAAAATCTAATTTTATTTTATCATATATATTGTAATGTTTTTGTTTTTTTAGTTTTTTAGTTTTTTTTTACAAGTACTGCAGGTTGAAGTAACTGCACAAAAAGTGGTGTTTTCTGCCATAATAAACTAAATCAGTAGAGCAGAAACATGAGCTGTAACATGATGCTCTTTGTAGTTTAGATATATAATCAATACACTGATACATCCTGATACATTATGTGTTACTGAAACAGAGCTCATGGTATATCAGCTGTTCTGCTTTCTGGATGTGAATTTATTTCCTTACACAAATAGAGCCCGAGCTCCTCGGGTAACACCCCACTGGCTTTGACTACAGTGACTGGGCTTACCTTTTACTGTCGCTGGTTATAAGCTGGTATGTTATGGTCAAGTCTGTATCATTGCAGCTGTTAAGATAAGAAGCTCACACACACACACACACACACACACACACACACACAGCTGATCTCATATACGTAATACATGCCTGCTGATGAATTTCACCTCTTATAATCAAATTAATGTCAACTTCATGCGATAACATTTTAATCAGCGAGCGGGTCTGATTACCTTACAGTGACCAGCTGAGAAGAAAACATTGTTGACTCCTGCTGTAATCACATCACATCATCAATACCTTTTTTAATGAGCTGATTTACAAAATACTGTGATTTGACATGGGTGGAAGAACTTTGCGGCTGTTGGCTTGTGGTCCTTTATCAGTGATTTCTTGTGATCATCCTTCACTTAAAAAGGGATAACTTATAAGGTACTCATCCATAGCTAGTGTATTATCTACAGTAAATGGCTGTTAGCACAAGCCCAGTTTGGAGAAGTATATATCGAGTTTTAACCCGACATGAGCATGAGCGTAGGTAACTCTTGTGGTAGTTAGAGACCCTCACGTTCACATTCATTAGTTGCAAACGGATACCTTCAGTTCACGAAAGTGCGCGTTCAATGAGCGGCACTCTCTTAGCACGGCCATGCTCATCAACACATATCAAGCATGAGTACAGTGAGTTTAACAACCAGCAGCTTCCAGAGTGTCTAGTGTAGCTGTTGTGCTCCATCACTCTACCATGTCAGGAGATATTTGTAAGTAAATTAATTTAAGTTGATTTTCAAAGTAAAACAAATCCCCTCAGATATCAATAAGTTCTGGCAGAGAACATTCAGATCTCGAGGTTTCCTACCTGACTCTCTGGAGATCTGGACAAAGGCTTCAACGCCACTCTCGCCATAGTTTCCCTCGGAGGCGAGTGTAGACACGTAGTTCCAGCCCATCGCTGTGACGATGTCCAGCATGGCCTGAGCTTGGTAGGAGTCCGGAGGAACCACACGGGAGAAGAAGTCATAGCGCGTGTTGTCGCTGAGCTCTGGAGCTGTCGAGGCGTAGCTGATCTGAGGAATCTGTGGGGACATGGAGGAGTTAACTGTTAGTTTAAAACTACTAAACAGCAGTCATACTATAGGTGCTTAAAGCGAGATGACACTGTAAATCAGTCTGGTCCACAGTTTTATAGTTTTAATAACATATTGTTCAAGCACACTGTAGCAAACCTGATTTCTCCAAAGTCAAACAGACAACACACCGTCCCCATCATACTGTGTTGTGATTTAGACAGCCAATATAAAAATACAATATATAATAATTCTTATGTAGAAAACGGTAGTGAAATGAACCTAAATCATTTTCAGTTTCTTCTACTTAGCCCTTTTTTGTTGCCTTTTTTAACCACAGTTAAACAGCCACAGATTCATTTAGTTCATTTTAAAAGCCTACTAAGACAGGCAGTGACAGATGTATTCTGAGCCTTTACTAGCGCCAATACATTCATGTAAAACTACTTGATAAAAGGTAAAAGTTTTGGTGTTTGCTTATCTTAAAGCTTAACAGTTTTTTCTGGTTGTTTTGTTTTCATTATTGTATTGTTTTTGTTTTGTTTTTCTCATAAGTACACCCTGTCTTTGTATATGCACAATCTGGTTAAATTATTATCATTTTTAAATGTAATGTGGTCAGTTCATATGAGCCAGAGGAAGAAAAGGATGAAAAAAAAGAAGAAGAAATATTTTGATTTAGAAAAAAAGCTATTTTTTTTCGCATTCTTTCAATGTAAGAGGCAGGAAGGTTAAAAACATCACCAGAAGCTGGTTTAGTTTATGCGCTTTCAGTTAAATTTTTTAATGTCGTTCCAACCATCCTGCAGTATATTTGTTGAGATTTAAACAAATCGAGTTCCTTAAATCCCAGCTTCCTGTTGTTTGGCTTCTTGTTAGAGTGGAGCGAACTCTGCCGTGTGAATTAGAGAGACGGATCAGGTCATAGATCCTGCAACAGACAGGCCGACAGGCCCAGCGGGGCTGGATAATGGTCCTTTAGAGAAGGATTGAAGGGCCGATTGATTTCACTTCAGTCAGAGGTTGGCGTGTTGGACCGAGCGCCGCCGGACGCCTCATCAGGATTCATAGAGGAGGAGGAGGGAGGAAGACGGACGGCTGAGGGCCTGACAGCAATACAAATGTCACTCAGCCCGACTCACTCAGTGACAGGCAGCAAATTAAAGGCCTGTACTGTAAATACAAACTGGTCTGAGAGTTGACGCTATCAGAGCGCTGCAGGTATTGGAAAGGAGCTGAAGTTTATTTCTTCCAGAACTGAACACGAAGTACACCTCTGAGGTTCTAATCCTTTACTGAGCCTTTACATTTTAGACACTTTAAACGCTTCCTCTTTATCTGATGGCTGGTTGGAGATTCAGGTTTCCCATTCCATGAGACAACAATGAGTTCTCCAAATTAAATTAACAAAATATGTTGTTTGTCGATGTCCTTCACCAATAGGACGACATTGTTGTCTCTAAAAGAAAACAATTATGGTTAAGGTTACGGCACAAAAAACATTTTTGTCCTAATGGTTACGATAATAACCACTTAGTTAAGATTTGGGAATGACCGTGGTCATGTTTAAAAAGACCATTCAAATCCTCCATATGTCCAGTGAAAAAAAGATCACAGATTTACCTTAAGCCATTGTTTGAGATGGGTCTTAAAAGTGGGATTATGAAATGCACTCCATTATTGCAAGTGGTAGGCATTTCCAATATTTACTTTCCTTCAGAGAAAGCACAGTTTGTCTAAATGGGGTGCGCCTTTGCGGCACTGCACAATCCCCTTTAGTGGTGGCCCTGTTGCCAATGCCACTGTTAGCCCTGTTTAATGAATTCATTGCTCCTGTAAGTGACCGGTCAGTAAAACAATACTCCATGTGTGAAAAAATCATTGAGTGTAAAAACATCCTGGCAGCATTAACTGTCAAAAATGGCCTGGCTTGCTTAAAAGTTTCTAAATAAAATTTTACCAAGTTTGACACCTTTTTCACATGGACTGGACTCTGAGGTGCCATGATCAATAAAATAACTGCAGATGGTTTAAGATATAATGGGGACTCTCTATTAGCATTAACGATGCATTGTGGGATGAATAAACAACACATTAGTTATTGATGCTCAGTCAGCTGCTGCTCCATTAAAACTCTTATTAACACACGCTGCTCCTGTCTTTAAAAGGACCTTACTGCCTTTAGCCCATTTAATATAAATTATGTCACTGCTGAGCTTTTCCTGATGAACACATTGTTCTGTACTCACAGATATCACCCTCCTGTGATGTGAGCATGTGAGTGAACATACACATTCTCATGTAATTACTCCAGTCTGATCCCTGGTCTACTCCCATTTTGACGTGACTGGAAAGCCTCCAGAGGAAGGCAACTGATGGGCTTACTTCTGAGTAATCTGGCACAACAGATAAAACATTATGACTCGAGCTTTGTGGGTAAGAAAATTGACATCATCAAATTATAACAGTAATGATAATAATAATTGTGATGTGGTTTGTGAAATGAGTGGCTTGCTGTACTCACACAGAGTTACAAATGTGTTATTAAATCAATTGCAGAGGGACTCTCAGGGAGAAATCTAACTCACGCCCTGCTGGTGGCTTCTGAAGTAGTCTCTGCCACAACTGGAGCACTGCAATTTTAATTAGCCTAATTGGACACCCTGCTGATCAGCTCGCTGCAAATACATCTCTATCCTCAAAATGGTGCAATCACCAACTCAGAAACATCCATGTGAAGTAACACTGTGGGTCTTCAGTGGTCGTGCACACAAGGGTTTTATTTTGAGCAAAGAACAGAAGCTCAAAATATATGAGCTGATCTGGAGCTGCAGATTGGAGCCATTTTTAGAAAATGTACTGTCTTATTGTATTAAAAAAATGTTTTGACCTCATCAAGGCTTAAAATCTAACCAAACTTTATTTTAAATTCTGGTGGAGGTCTCAAACTTTCCCAAGATACCCTTTTTGTTGAGCTGAATTTTCCGGACTGTGGGAACCTTTTAGGCTTCATATATATTATAAGGGAAACAGACTTAGTGAATAAATCATGATGTACATGAAGCATGTGACTTTAACGTTCAATGAAGAGATGAAAAATGTAAGCAGACAAAAACATCCTGTCTGTATGGAGTGTTGAGGAGACTGTAACGTTCCTCAAATGAATACATGAAACAAACAGAAATTTGAAAATTCAGGCTTGTTGCATACAGCAGAGCCTGACAGTCCAACTTAGACTGATTGTCTAAATTCTCGGCTGTGTCAACATGGAGGCTGCATTTGGGATTGTTGTGGCTTAAAATACCTGGTTTCATGGCAGCTTTTCTAAATAATTGCGATGCATGTTGTTTTTAGGTTTTGGGGGGGTTTCTTTGCAATAAAATTGAAGGCAACTTGTTCCAGTGAGAATAAAATGTACTGTTTGGAAGGTAAATGTGAGACGTTCGTGTTGCACATCTCTGCATGGTCTGCATCTTCACAACTAGAGACAAGAAAGTCCGTTTGTTGACGTATGGCTCAACATTTTGCACAGAAATCAACAATTGGTCACATTTGCAGCAAAGTTGCAGTGATTGCATTAGCTGTTGCGATCGCAACATCTCAACTTCCTGAATGGATTGGTTATAGACAAATGCCTGAAGAGGCTGTAGTCTCAGTAAAGCTCCTCAGAGTCAGAGGAGGTCTCAGTGGGACAAACAGCTGAAATGACCTGGACCTGGACGTTGGCCCACCGTGAAGCAAAAGTAGCAGCTGATGCACTTGTCATTTCCCGGCGGCCGAGCGACCTGCTGATAGATGGCGTCCTGACAGCGCTCTTTACCCTCAATACCAGACCTTTACTCTAATCCCGGGGACCTGCATCAGACCTGGTCTCACACTGAGGACAGACTGGTGTGTGTGCACATGTTTACACATCTTTACATCAGAGGACACGTTGACTGTTTTCTGCCGTCTCAGGCTGTTCCCTGCGACAGTGATTGATGCTCGTCATCCTGCGACTGCCTCAAGCTTTCTGCCCGACTGAACGATGAAAGAGGAAATCCATCTGAGGTGACAGCACACGTCCATCATGGTTCACTCGGCGCTCTGATTGTCTTATTTAAAGTAAAGCTGTATTTACTGTCATCTGTCTCTTTCCTGGACAATAAACAGCTTCGCCCTCGAGGTAAAATCCTACATGACTACTGCTGCCACTGCTCTGTTTCTCTTAATGTTTCTCTCTCGCTGTGATCAAATTGAATTCAGGGAGAAGTCAGAATGACTCAGTGCCACGCTGCAAAGACCCTGCTGGAAAAAATAAGATCCAACAACCAGAACTTAAATACCTGAAATTAAAGAACACATGCAATTTATGTTCTATGGGTCTTCTATTGTCCTCCTTTTTCCTAAACTATTGTACTAGTTGTATTAGTGTACTATTGTACAGTTGAACTATTTTCACTATTTTCACTATTTTACCAGCATTATTAACTTTTAATATTACCAGGAGATGAAGGTCATGGTACTTAATACTGTTCTGCTAAGAATTGAATGATTTTTCTGACTGACGTGAGATTCTAAATGCTTTTTTTCCCAAAAAATAAAAAGGTCCTTACAGCTTTAAGATAAGATAAGATAATTATCTCAAATTAAAAAGAGCTAGTATCAACTGATGCGGCAGCCCTGCTTCTCAATTGTTACCTTAATTAATACATAATTAATCCCACCAGAACTGGAATGTTTTTGATTTAATAACCCAATTTCCGTTCCTCTGTGTGCCACCCCCAGGACAAACTAGCCATTTTTTGCTCCACTCTTGGATTTAATTTAAAATAGATTCTTTGACTTTTTTAAATAGCTTTTTGTTACGAATCAACTTTAAACATGTTTCTCTGTGGGCTAAAAAAATATAAAACAGCACCAGTTAAGACACAGAACTACACGAAAACCAGCCATGGAAATGTAATGGAAGGAGAACATTATTTAAGGGCACAATACCACCACATACAAGTCTGTTGCTCCAACTTTGG